TGGTTATAATTCTTGGAACATAGAAAATATAAAATAAAAAAATAGTAAAAATAATATACTATGTTTTATGTTTCATAGAATGAACATTTCAGCGAATCAATTGATATGAGACCGTCTTTTTCAAAAACAAAACCTGGTCTAAAACGTACTGCAGAAAAAACAAGTGTGAAAAAACCTATGAAAAAAAAGCAGAATAAAATGGTAGTATAAATAATATTTATTATAATGATAGCATAAATAATTTAATTTTTTTATAGAATGTATCATACAGAGATAATGTTACCGAACGTTTGAGATCAGAAGAATTTGATGTCGAGTTAATTAATTCGCTAACATTTAGACAAGGGGACGGTGGTGTTGTAACAATCAAGTCACCTTTTGAAGAAAAAGCAAAGGAGCTTTGGGTAATTAGCCACTATAAGGTTGCTAACATTGAGAATGTACCAGTAAAAGACAGGTAAATACATTGGTTTAAATTTAAAAAACCTATTGATGAATCTGTTTTTTTTTTCACTGATTTTATTTACTTCTTTTGTTTTTAAAATAAAATAATTTGGTGTTATAGATGGAAGTTCAGTGAAGCTACTGTCAGATTGTATACAAGCGATGAATCAAAAGATCAAACGCTTCATACTGGTCTTAATGAGGCAATGCAAACCATATTTGACAAATTACTAACCGATCCGAAGCGTCAGACTATTAAAAGCAAGACGACCGTTTGATTATTATATGAAAAAATGAGTTTCATTTAATAAACAAAATATTATTATACATGTATGTTTTTATTTATTCAAAACTTAAAGGTCTTGGAAAACATAAACCTATAAACTATGGTTGGTTGGGAAAAAATTTAAAATATTAACAAATTAAAACTAAAACTTATTAAAACTATTCTTTATGATTTAAGGTGAGATGTAATTAAAATAAAAAGCAAGTTTATTATTGAAAAAAAAGTTTTATTAAAAAAAAACAATAATTATACATATTTAAATATTTTTTTTATAATATTAGATCTTGCAAAATCATATCAGACAATGTGTTAAAATGGAATTGTAATATTTCATATAAAAATGATGTGTCATCGTTCTGTAGGTGATTATAATAATTAAAATCATAGTTTTGAATATATTGGTTGGTAAATTCGTTCCTCTGACAGGTGGACGGCAGACCACGGACATCATTTTTAATTAGGTCATATGCAGTGTTGAAAGTATTTTGATAATTTGCTAAACGTTTTTGCTTGTCTACCACGTACAAATCTATCAAATTCTGTAATTGACGAAGTCGGTACAAATCTACATGTGACAAGGTAATGTATTCCTCATTTAGATGTAGGGTAATTAAACTCTGTTTAACATTGGTTGAATATGAAAAGGAATCGGTGATTTTTACACGCCTCACCCTAGTATTTAAATTATTAATAATCGAATTGTAATTAGGTTCAGACATCAGTGTAAACCATTCTTCTAAACTTAATGTGATAATTTTCTTTGTAAGTTTACATTCCAATAATAAAATAATTGAAATCTGCTTGTTAATTAGTAATCCAACTGTAATACTTTTCTTGTTGAAAGCCCGGATGTCGAATGTAGACTTACAGACAATTATTGGTGAACTCATGGTGAAGTTATTTTTGACAAATTTAAAAAAAAAATCTTTTATAAATAAGAAGTGGGATATAACTGTTAGGAGTTATACATTGAACTGCTAGTTTGTTCCCTTTGCAGTCATATTATATACTAAAAAACTCTGGAAAAAATGCAAAAAATGTGAACATACAGATAGCCAATGAGTGCGTACAAGAGAGGGAATTTACATATACTTGCTAACCTGTTACCTGAAAAAAATTTTAAATTATTTTATACGCACTAATTCGCTAGGACTGTATGTCCACGAGATATTAAATCGAATATTAACACATTTAAGATAAAAAATTCAATTTTGTTTTATTTTTTTTTATCCAATACAGCAAATATTATAAGCAGCATAAATATATGTACCTATATATAAACATTAAAAAAAAAAAAAACATGATTTAACAAATGGTGTCGTACGAACCAGTTTCACAATTACAAATAACTTCGGTTTTACAATATTTACTTAAGACTTTTTGAACAAACTGATTTCCTTTCATTAACAATACAAATAAACATCTAGGTGAGAATCGAGTATGTTCTATGAAACAATTATCACCGATTTCAAAACTATGTAGAATTATTCCACACCAATGACATTGAACTGCATCGTCGAGATTGATATAGTAAAATCCACATTCCGAGAGTTTGTACTTATTCTGTCCGGTATTTGAAGGGAAACTTCTAAAAGTTCGTAACCTCGATACAAATGTAGAGAATTCTGGATACGCTGGCGATGAATTGAATCGTATTTGATCGACCAATGACTGGATATCGTTTGTGCATTTTTGAAAATTCATTTTTGAAGAAAATAAATAACTTATTCAATTTAATAAAACTTTGAGAAAATAAAGAAAAATGAGACACAACTTGAGTGAACGATAGTTCATTAGTAACTGAATATAATAAAAAAAAAATAATCAACTTTAAAAATTATTGTAAATTTGTTTATCAAATTTTAGATAAAAAAACAGTGTAACCAACACGAGTAAAAAAGAAAAAAATATTAAATATTTTTTTGCGTGAGACGAAATTTGGTAGTCAATCAGTGTGAAATTTGTTACACGGTAAATCTGAGTGCTCCAAGGGGACATTCCCCCCTTGAACTTTTTTTTTTCCCTGGAAAAGCTGGCTGTGAACATACAAATATATACTACTCAGCGCTCATATTGGTTCAAATCAAAACTATTAAAAATTGTTATGGTTATACCTATATACAATAAAAATATATATAATGATCATATTAAATTATCAATTATAAAATAGTTCACTAGAAGCGCTAGCAACGGGGGTCCGATTTAAATTCAATGCCGTATTACTACCATACTATCTTAAATCGTGGTCGAAACCGATAATTTCGTATTTTTTTTCTTGGCTCGTCCGATTCTCGCTGTGCGACAACGACCTTGGTGTTACTCTCGTTACCCTGTTTGTAGTTAGAGCCGCCCGTGCTCTTTTCATGTCGCGCCGTACGTAGTGTCGACAACTTGTATCGCTCGACCGCCTGTGTCACCTGTGTTGTGATACAAGTTGTGATGGGCACTACCGAATAGTTTGTACTATCGAATGTTGATCGATAGTCTATACATACTATCGAATATTTATTCGATTGTTTCATTCGGGGACTGAATAGTAAAATCTATCGTAAAATATTCGATAGCTTAATTCATTGACTGAATAGTCAAAAAAACTATCGAAGAAAGGTACAATATTCGATAGTTTTTCCCAGGTACTGAATAGTAAAGAAAACTATCGAAGAAAGGTTCAGTATTCGATAGTTTTTCCCAGGTACTGAATAGTAAAAACAAAAAAAAATAAATAAAAGGCTCAATTTACCACTGTAAAATGTTGACTAGCATTACTCCAGTAGATACTCAAATCCAGTGGTCTTTTATGTGGATGATATAGGTCATAACTTTTTTTTTTATAACCACTGGCACATTAAAGTTAACACTACCTACCGCTACTTTTTTTTTTTGTGATAATTGTAATGTACAAAAATGTCTACCCCAGTCACTCACTCACTCCTCTGCAAACATGGACCAAATTACACCAATGTTCAGATCTTGGCTATTCTTTTTCTTCAGTTGGCTCAGTATCTATGTTTTTTCCTAAATAGCCTCAGTATAATATACCAGTCACTATTATGCGTTAATGTTTATACACAAAAATAAATAAAACAAACTTCATTATTAACTTTTTAATGAATAGGTCACTAGTGAGTACTCTACAGTAAGTCTTTCATACAATATATTATTTTACAATAAGTATATACACAAATATTTACATATTTTTACTTAAAAAAATCTAAGTATCCAAATTCTCTGGTAATAGCCTGTTTCGCCGCTCACATAAGATCTGGCCAGCCTTTGAAAATATCCGTTCTGATGGTACAGAGGTTGCGGGAATAATTGCATATTTTTCCGCGATATCCCCAAGTGGATGTAAAGTAGATTTTTGCTGATTCCAAAAAGTGAATATATTACAATTTAATTTTTGATGGGGAATACTTAAGTATTGCCTCATTAAGGCAGTAGCACCGCTCGTTGCTGTACTTTGTGATTGGATAGTGGTCACCTTGGATTGTAGGAATTCCCAAACATTGTCCACTTGTTCAGGAACGAATTCCAGTTTAACAACGGCATGTTCTGTAAGAAAACAAGTAAAAAATATTATATAAAAGGACCTTCAACCCAAAAATATAGTACATTGCTATTAAATTCGTTAGATAATTATTTTTTAACAAGAATATTGTATATTTAGTATTTACCATTAACAGCATTTGAAGCATCTAATAGATCAGCAATTTCTGAAATGATATACTTTTCAGCATCATTAGCATTTTGTGCTACTCCAAATGCAGCTTTTTTGAACCTAGGATCCAACAGAGTAGCTCTTGAAAATCCTGGCGTCAACGTTTGTTTTTCAAACCCATCAAAACGTTTTGATGTTTGATTTATTAAATTTGTTTTTAAAAATTGTCCAATTATTGTTTTTGGATCTTTTGAAACCAATGAACCTTGTAAACCTATAAATAATTATTAAGTTTTAAGTACTTATTAAAATGGTTAATTTAATATATTTAATTTAATTTATAAACAATCCTTCCCTAGATTTATATTTATATAATAATTATTAATTATCATTACATTTTATTTATTATGAAATTAATTTATAGCGAGATTAGTTTGTAGATTTTAATTTTGTTATTTGTTAAAAGACTAACTATATACCCATTGAATATTTAAATAAATATGCAATATAATATTATTTGGTGTAGGTACTGTATTAAAATAATTACCTCTTATCAATGGTATCACTTTTGAAATGGTCGGATATTGCTCTGCCGAGAGCTCTACCGTTAAACTAGGGTATTATATCTTCAACAACCTTCCATTCATCATGGTCCAGGTTAACTGGAGCTTCGATTAAAGAAATAATGGCAATTGTCAGAGGTTCTTTGAGTTTAACAAGTCTTTCCAACATGAACAAGGTGCTATTCCAGCGTGTGCGGACATCTTGTTTCACTTTTAATATTTGAGTAATACCCAGCTGTTTTTGTTTGTCGATTAATACCCTATTCCCTACCTCACTTCGCTTAAAAAACCCTACAATTTTGAGACATTTCTTCAAAATTGTTTTCATCGATCTACCTGCATCCTGTTCTCCAATTAGTTCATCCTCTGAGAGCTCCAGTGATTGTTGTACTATTAAATTTAACCGATGAGCCGTGCATGGAATTGAGGCATTTCCAAAATTCGGACGGCTATATAGCCATATTAGCACCACCGTCTGTTACAATTGCAACTACTTTATTTAATATTTTCCAATCTACCAGTTCTTGATTAATTATTTCCGACAGATTTATACCAGTGTGGTTCGACACCAATTTTTTAGTACAAAGAACCACAGTTTTTAGTTGTCTTAAATTGGTGTCAACAAAGTGAGCAGTTAATGTCATGAAGGAGTCGGTGTTCATTGAAGTCCATATATCCGTTGTTATTGCAACATGACTCGCTTCATTCAATATAGACTGGACATTAGTTTTCACTCTTTCCATAATATCTGGAATAATTGTCCTACTGAGTGTCCGTCTGCTTGGTATTTCATATCTAAAATAATTTATAATATGCATATATTAAAATATTTTTATGACAAACAATGAAACAACAGTGATAGCATAAGAAGTAATTTTATTTAAGATGTAGTACTAAGTCAGTTGTTATTTATCACAATATATTTAACAATGTTAAAATCTTTAATCTATGATTATTACCTAGAATCTAAGAGTTTTATCATATGACGGAAGCCTGAGTTCTCTACAATGGACAAAGGTTGAAGGTCCTCAGCAATCATCCGGACAATAGCATCATGAAATGCATTTATCTGCTCATTTGACACAATTCCAAATCTAAGAACATATTTGAAATGTTTATTTAGAGGGTTCAAATAAAAGTTAAGACTAAAAATGATTGATTCAAGTAACTGGACGTTATATAATATTGATATTTTTATAACTCACTGTCATAAACAAATATAATAAATTGCCTTTAGTTGTACTAGGTACATATCTATACACAATTAATTTTTAAACTATTGACATGAAATCCATTTATATCTTTCCATCTAACTGTCCATATTTTAAACATTAAAAATACTCAATAAAACACTAAAAGAAAAAGAAAAGGAAATTGTTTATAATAGAGTATTTTCAAGACTTAAAAATTGATAAAATATAAATTAAATAATTAAAAAAATATATGATACTGATATCCTCTTAACTAAGTTTCTTGCCAGAGGTATAACTTAAAATGTGTCCAAACCAGTTGGATAATTATTAAATCTGAAAATTAAAAAATATATATTATTTAATATTTTGTGATACACATTAATGATTAACTAAAAGTTTCCTGCCAGAGGTATAACTTAAAGTGTGTCTAAACTAGCTGAATAATAAATAAATCTAAAAATTAAAAATAATAAATTGAATAATTTTATCTAAATATAAGCCTAGTAACTACTAACTACTTAGCCAATAAAAAACTAAAAAAAAGAAAATTGTATATAAAAGAGTATTTTCTAGACTTATAAATAAATAAAATATAATTTAAAAATATATTAAAATGTAGTATGATACTGATATCATTTTAACTAAGTTTTCTGCCAGAGATATAACTTAAAATGTGTCCAAACCAGTTGGATAATTATTAAATCTGAAAATTAAAAAATGTATATATTATTTAATATTTTGTAATACACAAATTAAATGTCTAAAATATTAATAAAAGATATTATGTTGATTTATGGAAATAATTATCAACAAGCAATCAATATTAATAATCTAAAATATTACCTGTTGGACAAAACCATTTGTTTTTGTCTTTTTATTATCGGGCCAACTACGGGGACTAGCTCTGCGCTAGGAACTATTGGCCCTATAATTTCTAGCTCTGCACTAGGAATCGCAGCACTTCTATTTACTTACCTTTGATTTACTTCCGATGTCCCTATTCAAAATTCAATATATCAGTATTGTTAATTGTTCATTATAATATTTTTTAAAAAATACTATTATAATATATTATATTATATGCTCAAATTAAAAGTTACCTGGTGCATTTACATCAACTTCATGTTCTTCATTTACAATTATATGCTTCCTATTTAAATGGTCAAGTAAATTGGAAGTGCTATTCGATCTTTGATAAGTGTTTTTACACAATGTGCAAAACGCCACACTTGGATTATTGACGTCCTTTCGAAAATAATTCCAAACAATGGATACATTTTTCTTAGGACACGGCATACTTAATTAATAAAAATAATCACAGACAAAATAATGACACGAGGATCTGTAAAATTCACTCAATGACAATTGACAAATATTATTAAATCATAAACCTATTAAAATTTTAAGTATTAACTAATTAATAATTATAGGTTAGGTGAGCTGTTGTTAGTTAATAGTTAATACCACGGTTAAGACTTAATAGGTCCCCGCTGTTTCATCCCCGATAAAAAAAACCAGTCCACGGACGTTCAATGTTCAAACTTCAAATGTCCTATCCTAAGACGTCCTAACGGCTTTAATAACCCGACGATGGGACTAAACGATAAAATATGATAAGTGATAACGATAGGTACGAGGATAATAAATTAATAATTATTAATTTAATAAGAAAAGGTATGATTATTTTTTTTCAATTTAAAGATTGGAAAAAAGTCGATAGTTTTTATTCGAATGAAAAGTCGATAGTTTTTAATCGAATGACGTCGATAGTTTTCTATTCGTTCATGCTATAAAAGATTCGATAGTATTGTAAAACAATCGAATAACTAGATAGTTTCAAACAATCGAATATGTCGATAGTTTTCATTCGGTTGTGCCCATCACTAGGCCATACAACACAATTTAGTATTTTTCGTCGCTCGCCCGACTCGCTGTGCGTTTCGAGCCCTGCTCGCTTCGCACCCACGTGTTCCGACCGCCCGTCCTACGCAGTGCGAACCGTGGTTAAGAAATTTTGTTGTCGTTTGTGCCGCGTCTCTACGATGTCAACAACTGATGTTTTTGCGTGATCTTTTCGAGATCTCCTTTTAACAGAAATACGAGTTCGTGTCCGCGTCGTCCAATATTTCGTTTTACCTAAGCTTCAACTGTCAATCACCGGTCGTACCTACGCAGTGTTGTCGACCCATTCGTCGAAGTTGACGGGAGTGTGCAAAGTGACGCCAGCCCCGATTGCCGCCCTCAGCTGTTACAACGTTGCACTGGGTCAAGTGCAGCGCCATCGTCGTGGTATCATCACCCGTCACTATCAGTTCGTACACACGAGATTTATTTGTCAACAAACACCATTTGTATTATTTTTTTGTCTCTTGATTTATTGATTCACGCGATCGTTTGTGATCGCGCTTATAATACTAACCCTAGCTATTAAGAAAATCTTTTGCAGAACACAACAATAAATTGTTCTGCACCTTATATAAAAACCAATATTGTTATTGTGATTAGGTACCTCTCACTCATCACCTTAGCATTCACGCTGCAACACGATTGCGCAATTTTTCCTTTTTGACCCGACTAATTACACCACGATTGCGCAAAAAATTTGCAACACGATTGCGCACCTAATGATATGTGTATATACTATATATAATAATTTATATACAACATAAAATAATGTATACATACAATACATTTTCATATACATGCACTTAAACCATGTAACTAGTTATTATTCACAATTTTCCTTCTCAATTATTACAGGCTTAGGACTGTCAACAAATTATCATCGGTGGCTTGGTTAAAAATTGTTTTTTTCTAAATTAAATATGTCGTAAGTCGATATTTTTAAGTCTATATTTTTTTTTTTTGTTTATAAAAAAATAATGGTAATAAAATAATAATCATAATTAAATAATTGTATTGACATAGTCATAAGTCGATATTTTTTACATTTGGTGACTAGCTTATTACGATAATGTTACCTATCTTTATTATCTTAATTTATTGCTTTACACCAAGTCGACGAGCAGATAAAATTATAAAAATAAAAATAAATACCAATGCTCACTCGTTCAATTTTGTATACGTATATAATATCAACAAACAAATAATATTGTTTTATAAAAAGTTATAGAAAGTATGTCGTACTCGTCACCAGCTCTACTTGTGCAGCTGTCGTTCGCACATATACCTTTTTTCAGATTAAGCATCCAAATGATTTGGCAGAATTCAACAATTGTATGAAAAAAAGAAATAAATTCTACAACAACGTCTCATAAGCAACTTAAATTAGTTGGTTGGTAAAGTTTACCCAATCAAAAAGTTGGATCAAGCTGAATTTGGTAAGGCTAATTTAAGACTTATAATTGATACGATATCACCCTTTTCATTTGTCGAGCATCCAGCGTTTGTAAATTATTGTAAAGTTACGTCAAATAATTTTCCTGCATCACGTAGAAGCTTAATGCGTATTTCATATAATATTAAGTTATAATCTTTTATTATTTTAGATCATACATAGGATTTAATATCCATTGGATTAATCCTCAAACGCTTGAAAGATGTTCAAAATGACTTGCTTGCAGACGAATGATAGGAAGACACACTTACGATAATATTTCCGAATCAATAGACAAGGTACTCGATGAATTTAAAATTCAGAATAAAACAACATAATAGTCACTGACAATGCAGCAAATGTTCTCAAAATTTTTAGGTAATTATCCTTAATCACTTAAAAATATTGAATATTTTTATTTATGCTAGAGTCACTCATTTATAGATATTGACAATTGTTTGAAACAATTGTATACCTACACTTTTTATACTATTCAATGTGTACCTACTATAATACTTGTATAGATATAAAACTATACAATAAGTATTTAAAAATCATATTCAAGTGATTTTTTTTTAATATTTTAGTATTTATATTCCTATAAAAAAGTTTTTCTTATAACTCAGTATAATAATTTATAAATTATGAGTAAAAAATTGTCAGTTTATACTTAAAAAAAATTATAACTTCTACATCCACACTTTTTTTTCAATGATTCATTAATAGCAGAGGTCTTTTCCTGGCGAGATCTTTTCGACGGGCAGTCAACTCACTCGTCCACCAGGGAGGCGGTTTTGAAAGAGTGATAGTGATTTAATGAGATGATATGAATGCCGTGAGCACGGACTAAGATATACAGGACTGGACACGACAAGGTTGGAGGGTGTGGGGGGGTTGACTACGAAATGTTTTACAACAGGCAGTGTTCGGGGGGATATTTTCCTTTTAGCATTACTAGCGCCGTCTTAGTGGATACTTTTGGAACTAGATCACATAATTGTCATCTAGTTCCAAAAGTATCCACTAAGACGGCGCTAGTAATGCTAAAAGGAAAATATCCCCCCGAACTCCGCCTGTTGTAAAACATTTCGTAACCACAATATTCATCTCGTGTCCAGTCCTGTATATCTTAGTCCGTGGCCGTGAGTAAAAGGGTGTTTTAAAAACGTGATATGGAATGATAATCATGGGTGAAATGAATGTAAATGGTGATATCAAAGAAATGTAACAAAATAATTTTAATTATTCTCAATCATCTCACTTATTAAAAGGCACCCGAGTAAAATGAAAACTATATAATAAACGTATAATTTTACTGTGAATATTTAATTTTTAAATAGGTTCACACACGGAAAAAAATGATTACTATATAATTGTAGTTGCAACAAGTGTAGTTGCAACAACTATTTATAGTTAATACAACTATTTTGTAGTAAAGATTAATAAACGATTTTAGTAGATATGAATACAAAATTGTAGTTAAAATATTATAGTTACTAGTACTATAATTTAGTTGAATCTATTTCCATTAGGTATCTATTTATTTTAGTTAAAACTTGGTTTTATACAGAATAGTTAATTTTACTATAATTTATAGTAAGCATAACTGAAAAATATTGTTGTTTGTTTTATTTTTAAACGCGGTATACGTGATTCCCAATGTGTTGTTTTGTTATCGGGCAAATAGCGATCCGTCCGCTGCAGTCGTCATTGTCCATTTATGATCCTCTGTATTCGACATTCGTGTTATTTATATTATTTCTCACACACACCACAATTTATTTTGATTTTGGTAATTTATACTTCTCATTTCAACATTTGACTACTTGACTGTTGAATGTTGTCAATGTTGATACTCATAACTCATTACAAACATTGTAACATTTACCTGCCAACTGTACTGGGGATTTTGGAAGTTTGGAGATTCTGTTCCTGAGGTAAGTCTAATTAATTTAGTTTTTAATTATTAGTTAGGTACCTGCTACCTATAAGTATGTAAATTAAAATACTGACGATTTTAATATTTTTATTTTTTAATATTGCTGCAGTATAAAATATTAAATAGTATACTATAGGTATACCTATTATCAAGGCAGGACATTATAACGAGTTAAAAATTAAAATGAATTTAAAACGTTAAGTTGATATTAACTAATTTGAGTAACCCGTTACTTTTTTTTAAACTAACTTTTAACATATTTAACGTGGTAACTTAGTTAATTGTATTCAGATTTATAAAAATTAGTTTAAATAAGTACCACTAATCTCAATATGTTTAAATGTTTTTTGTGTGAATCTCAATTTGAGGTATCTAGCCATCTTTTAATACATTTAAATATTTATCATGATCTTAATAGCATAACAATATTTGAAAGTAAACAACTAAATTGTTTCCGAAGTTTTGGATCAATAGATTCTTTTAAAAAGCATATTAATAGTCATACTTTAGTTACAAATAATATTGCAATTAATCAACAAATTAATGTTGACAAACATTCACCAACCATAATCAATAATATAGATATCAACTCTGAGGAAACAGTAGATTATATTCAGGATAATTTAGAATGTACATATTTCTTTACTCTTGAAAATTTTAAAAACATTTTACAAAAAAATGCAATTAAATTGGTTTTAAAATGGTATAGCAATGGTGCAATACCATGGAAAATGGTTCAAATCCTTCTTGATGATGTTCAAAACTTTAATGACTCGATTTTAATAAATATAAAAGACAAAATCCAAAATATGATTCAAAATAATAATTATGTTGATACAGTTAAAGATCTAACTCTAGAGGTGCGTTACCCCAGCACCCGGACCATTAAATTTTCACGAATTTCAACTTTGCACCGTACAGTTTTATGTACTTTATTTTGTACAATTTTGTACAACCAAAATTAAATTTCGTACAACACTCATACCCCCCCAAAATCCAAATTCATCTTACGGGTGCTGCGGTAACGTTACCCCAGCACCCGGACCATTAAATTTTCACGAATTTCAACTTTGAACTGTACAGTATTATGTACTTTATCGAGTATCTTGTATCAATATTGTAGGTATCTAAGATACTGCACAACCTATTGTAGCCTGTAGGTAGGAATAGTAGTTGTTGATTAATTTATAATTCTATAATTATTATTATAATTTTATAATTTATAATTAAAAAAAAAAATCAACAGAAAATATTAGGTACTCAGATATCAAGTTTTAAAATAATTTAAATTATATTACGTAGGTACATTTTTTTAACAATAGTTAAATTAATCATTCATATAATACCACATTACATTTTCTACATTTGATGATTTATTTTCTGATAAGAATAACAAAAATAAACATAATTTTATATATTTTGTCATGTCGTAAGTTATAGTGTTATACCGTATTTTATTATTGTCGTTTTATTGCCTGACCAATTTCTTGTAATAATCACACATCACGAGTTGTAATTTATTATTGTTATCTTATCGTTAAAATTATAATATTGTTTCTCTAAAAATAGTCTAAAACAATCTGATTTTAGGTTGTACAATCATAAATAATATTTATAATCAATGAACAATGATACTATAGATAGTTGATACAGCTGTCGAACGTGGGCATTATGCTACATATTGCTACATTGAACATTGTCGACTAATTCGTCTATTCCTGTTGTCGCGCTTCTAAGCTTTACTACAACAAAACGTATTTAATATTTGGACTCATAGATTCATTTTATTCTAGTAATTTACCTACCTACTAATGAATATTATGCAATATGTTTTTTGTCTAAAATAATACCTATGTATTTGGTTTCAATATGAACTTGAAGGTACCTACCGCCTAATGTCTTAACGTATTTCTGTTTTTCAAAATTGTGATCATTGTAAGTAAGTTACATTTATGTCGTGTATTTGGTATAATTATTTACTTGAATTTATTTTGTTTTATATTAAAATATAATTAGAAGTTAAAACTTTGTGTATTACTCTAATAAGTGATGGCAAACGATAATAGAGGAAGAAAACCAAATAATTTAAATCAAAATATTGATGATGAAATTTTCAATTTGAAAGATCAAATTATTTTTGATGGCTTTGGAAGTATTATTGTATTAGTATATGAATGGACTAATATCGTACAAGAACATTTCTTTATGCACACAAGACTTCCATGTTGTCTAGTGTTTAAAAAGTCTTACGTTAATGTAAATTATGGGACATACATATCAGTACGTGGTCGTTGTTCTGATTGTGGTTCAGTTTTTCAAGGATCTATAAAACAAATTCCTGACAACATAGGCGTGCGCACGGGGGGTTCCGGGTGTGCCTGGGCACCCCCCGACAATGTAATTGGGGCCCTAAAATTTAAGACCTATAGTATATATATAGGTTAGTATTTTAACTAATTTTACTAGAATAAAAATGTTATTTTTTCTAAAATATGTGATTAAAAAAAAAAATATGTTTGTGCCGTTTGGGGATAAAAAAATAATACAACGTAAAATATTTTAAATTTTGCATGGTAAAACTTGTTACGATTACAACAGCTAGCTAGATGTTATCGACTACAAAAGTAAAAATAATAAATAAATAATGCAATTATCTAAAAATAGATTTTAGATCCAACTATTTAATGAAATATTATACAGGGTGATTTTTTTATCGAAGAACACTCATTATTTCAAAAAGTATTAATGTTTAAGAAAATATTTTTTACATAGTTTCAAGTTGTTAAAAAACAATATTTTTATTAAAAAATTATATTTTTAAATATTTTTTATCCTTTTAATTTTTTAAGTTTTTTACTTTTTTGAATGACAACATCTAATTTTAATTTGATATTCAAAAACAGAATATTTTTCTGAGTATTTCGATACATAAAAATTGAATTTAGGGCAATTAGTTTATGAGTTATAAGTATTTAAAGTTTAGATGAGCGGAGTAGAGTGGTACGGGGTTACCCCGCGAAATGTTTGTCCTCTACTCAGCTCATCTAAACTTTAAATACTTATAACTCATAAACTACTTGCCCTAAATTCAATTTTTATGTATTAAAATAATCAGAAAAATATTCTGTTTTTGAATATCAAATTAAAATTAGATGTTGTCATTCAAAAAAGTAAAAAACTTAAAAAATTAAAAGGATAAAAAATATTTAAAAATATAATTTTTTAATAAAAATATTGTTTTTTAACAACTTGAAACCATGTAAAAAAATATTTTCTTAAACATTAATACTTTTTGAAATAATGAGTGTTCTTCGATAAAAAAATCACCCTGTATATAACTTGGAACTAGTAATACCACTGAATAATTTGTGATTTAATTCCGTGATACCATTAGAGACCATTATACGGGTTATGGAGTTATTTTTACATTTTGTAAAATCGAAAATAAACACAACAACTGATATCTACTATTTGTTATAATAATTATAACATTGAAATATTATGATTTGACTGTTAACTAAAATAAATATTATTTACGAGTTATTCTACAGCGATCACTGTCCAGTGTCCAGTGTTTACTGATTACTGAACCAACGTTGTAACTTGTAATATTATTTTATTTTTTAAATTAAAATCATGCCACCTAAAAGCGGTTGCCAAAAACGTAAAGAAAAAATTAAAAACGATTTGGAACTGAAGAAAATTCGAGGTTCTTTAGACAAATTTATTCTGCTCAAAACAAATCGTAAGTATATCAATTTTATAGTAATAGTATTATAGTAAAGTAGTAATGTTTAAGTCCTATAGATACTATCAAATTTAAATCCTAGATATAAAAAAAACTAAAATATGTTTATTGTTATTTCTTTTTGCCATTAATTGTTATAAATTATTTATTAATTATTATTATTGAATTGAAAAGTGAGTTACCTACTTACTTAATAAAATAAATGAATAAATTATCGAAATAATTTTAATAATCAACAAAATATAAAATGTAATTAAAACATAAAAAAATCTGAATACAGGGCTGGATTTAGAGGGGGGCTCGGGGCCCAGGTCCCGGGGCCCCCACAAGATTCAATTAATAAGAGGGACAAAAATAATTACCAAAAAAATTAAAAATTATCAAAACCTTTTTTTTTTTTAATATTTCTAGTAATTTGCAAAAAAATATTATAATTTTTTTTTAAAAGTTTGACAAGTGGTGCTATTAGTGTGTGATTAAACGAATCACCAGATTGGGATTGGTAATATTATACCATTACTACTTATTATTTATAAATAAAATTACTCAACTACAGTGTTGATTGTTGAATGATGCGTCGTTAATCATTATAGTTATTTGAATATCAAAATACTATTGTAGTATTATTTCGTTGGTGTTGTATAAATTATTTTACATTTATATACACTACGTTCAAAATATGGTTTTTATTTGGATGCAAAAATATTACTCAGTGTCTAAAGTGTCTAAAAATAATGTTTTGTTTGATACTATCTGTTTTTTTTTTGCCATATCAATAATTAATATAAACTAGTCAACTAAATAGTGTTACTTTCATCAAGTTTATCTTTAGTGCAATAATACATTTTTTTCTAGAATAATAATTTATTTAAATTCAATGGTTTTGATGTACTAAAATAAAAAATGAAAAGAGATGACTATAAAGGTTACTTGTATTTACTTATTAATTGTTTAAATTTAAATTATTAATTTTAAAGTTTAAGTTTTAAAGTATGTATATCAACTAAAAATTCTTATATTTCAATCTTATGTGGGCACCTACAACCCTAAATTCGGCCCTGCCTGAATATAATGATAATATTAGGTAAAGTAAAAAATATAAATTATAATTATTTAAACAATAAATGGTCAAGTAGAAACTAATAGTTACAATATTGAATATATTTTTAAAACTATTAATTACTAAGTTTATATTTTATTATATTTTAATAATTTATTAATATTTTCTATTACACAAAATAAGTGCAACTTGCAGTTGCAATATAATTCATAATCTCAAATTAATATTTGTATTATTATTATTATTGTTATTAAATATTAATGATTATAAATATTATATTCTAGCTATAGTTGGTGACAAAAAGAAAAATGATAATTTAGTATTAATTACATCTACTAGTTCTTCTTCTATACCATTTGTAAAGTTGCCTGCTGAAGAAGATAATATCACTAATTCTAATTTATCATATAATAGTCTACACCTTTCGTGCTTAGATTCTGCTGTTGTAATAAAATCTAATCTTTTACCAAAACAGTGTTCTCGTCTACGAAAATTTGTAAAATATAAATCACTATATTTTTGACATATATCTATTTTTTTTCTCTTAATAAAATTAATTTAGCATTTAAATCTTTTATATAAGAAAAATTCGGCATAGAGTTTGTTCTACTTAAATAAATACTATATTTGAGGTTTCTAATTTTTTTTTTTAAGATCTTTATATTCGTATCTCTCTTTAATTTTATTTTCATCAATTATCTTCGTTAATGTTACAATCTGTTCTTCATAATATTGAATTTGTTCACGACAATAATCATATGTATACCAAAAATTAATTATCTGATCAAAATATTATAATACATGTATGTTTTTATTTATTCAAAACTTAAACGTCTTGGAAAACATAAACCTATAAACTATGTTTGGTTGGAAAAATTTTAAAAATTTAAAAATTATTGTAATTTAAAATACTAACAAATTTAATCTACTTTTAAAACATAATATTAAAACTAAAACTTATTAAAACTATTCTTTATGATTTAAGGTGAGATGTAATTAAAATAAAAAGCAAGTTTATTATTGAATAAAAAAGTTTTATTAAAAAAAAAACAATAATTATACATATTTAAATATTTTTATAATAGGTATTAGATCTTGTAAAATCATATCGGACAATGTGTTAAAATGTAATTGTAATATTTTATATAAAAATGATGTGTCATCGTTCTATAGGTGATTATAATAATTAAAATCATAGTTTTGAATATATTGGTTAGTAAATTCGTTCCTTTGACAGGTGGACGGCAGACCACGGACGTCATTTTTAATTAGGTCATATGCAGTGTTGAAAGTATTTTGATAATTTGCTAAACGTTTTTGCTTGTCTACCACATACAAATCTATCAAATTCTGTAATTGACGAAGCCGGTACAAATCTACATGCGACAAGGTAATGTATTCCTCGTTTAGATGTAGGGTAATTGAACTCTGTTTAACATTGATTGAATATGAAAAGGAATCGGTAATCTTAACACGTCTCACCCTGGTATTTAAATTATTAATAATTGAATTGAAATTAGATTCAGACATCAGTGTAAACCATTCTTCTAAACTTAATGTAATAATTTTCTTTGAAAGTTTACATTCCAATAATAAAATAATTGAAATCTGCTTGTTAATTAGTAATCCAACTGTAATACTTTTCTTGTTAAAAGCCCGGATGTCGAATGTAGACTTACTGACAATTATTGGGGGACTCATAGTGAAGTTATTTTTTTAAATTTATTAAAGAAAAAATCTTTTGTATAAATAAAAAGTAGGATATAACTGTTAGGAGTTATACATTGAACTGCTAGTTTATTCATTTGCAGTCCTATTATATACTAAAAAATCTGATAGAAAAAAATGCAAAAAAATTGTGATCGTATAGATGTTCGATTAGTACATACTAGAAGGGTAATTATACATACTTACTAACCTGTTACCTGAAAAACATTTTAAATTATTTTATACGTTCTAACCGATCACGCCATACGACCACGAGATATTAAATCGAATAACAACACATTTAAGATAAAACATTAATTTTTTTTTTATTTTTTTTTAATCAATACAGCAAAGGTTAGGTTAGGTATATCTCTTATATTATAAAACACAAATAGTCTTCGTTTTTCGCCACCAGGCGCGACGCGGCAAATAAGGAATTCCGCGTTTCTTCCATGACGACCAATAATATTCTCGCGCGAGAGCAAAATTTCGCCACCAATCAGAATCGTTCATATTTGCTATCACTATTTGTGAAAATCACGTTTCTTATCATCCTTTATAAAAATTATAATGTGATAATATAATAATCATCAATCATACAGGTTTATGATGGGTATTGGGTACTTTCAATTCTATTAGTGAACTAATTCATGTGATTCAGCTCATTAAAATGTCATTGAATCACTGAATCAGTTCATTATATTTACATTTTATAATTGTGACTAATATTTTAAACCTAAGGGCTAATAATTATGTATATATAATTTATATCTTTATTTATATAATTCTACTGTACGAGTGTTTGTAAGTTGAGTGGACCTTTGAATGGTTTAGATTCACAATCGGACCCGATAGGCCCATTCCGGGGAGGTGCTCAAACAGGAATGTTGAGATTTACGGTGGATATTTTTGTTTATAAATGGTTGCCTT